TTTTTTTTTTTTTTTTTTTTTTTTTTTTTTTGATTCAGTTAGCTTTTTATGCGCTCAAAAACAAATTATTATACCCATCCCCGATGTAACAGGGGAGCAGTGACCCAAGTTATATGCACGAAACTACCAATATATCCATCAATATCACCACCACGTCCTGCTCTCCGCCATTTATCGCCCTTTGATTTTTAATCTGTTCCTGTCGCTTGGATTGAGTTGAGAGTGGGGCCCCCGTAGGGCACCGGCCACCGTGCCCCGCGGAGAAATCAGGGGAATGGAGAAGGCCGCTGCCTGGCCTGGTTTCCGGGGGTAGTGGCTGGTCCCCGGAGATCTTGAGGGGTGGAGGAGGGGGCTGGACGGTGTCTCCCCAGGTGTCAGGAGGGTGCTCGGAGGTCACGGAGATGGGGCCTTCAGCTGGCCTGCAGCCAGTTGAGGGGGAAGGGACTCTGGATGTGTGAGCAGAGAGACTCCATCGGGCAGGAGCACGTGGCCGCCTTCCACACACTTGGGGAGCCCTCCCCCCGCTTCGGTGATATCTTGTCCACCCCTCGGCACCCGCCTTGTCCACAGGAGGCCTGGGGGCTCTGCAGAACCTCCTCTGGGCAGAGCGGAGGAGGCCAGGGAGTGGGGAAGCCAGAAAGCTTTGAGCCTGCAGAGCGCGAGAGCTCGCCGTTGATTGGGGTCGCTTTGGCCCCGAGGCCTCTGGGTCTGGCAATGCCATGGTAGCCACACCATGGTGCCTAGGACTGTGCAGGGAACCGGGCGGCTGGGTGGTTTGTCTACCTCACCCCCCACTTTTGCCCCCAGTGCAGTCCCCCTGCATGAAGTCTGACTAGCAATTTAGAGGCCCAAGGCTTCTGGGTCCTAGCGGCGGGGCTGGCATGGCCCTGGGGGGCGGTACATGTCAGCCCAACCCCGCACAGGGGGCCCCTTAGCAAGCAGCTGGGGAATGGGCCATTTGGAACATTGGATAGAAACCCAAAGAGCAAAATTGTCAGAATTGGAAAATACAATTGGCATGAGATCCAAAAGAATTTTGAGGCACCCTAAATTATCTGCCCATTCTTCTGGAGACCCACCTACTCAGTATTTTTTGCCTCTGTGGGCTGGGTACTCCTGGGGCGCTTGTCCCTGCCCTCTGTGTCCCCAGTTTTGCAGCTCTCTCCAAGGTCACCACTATCTTGACCCGGGCACCTATCTGGCCTCCCGTGCCTTGGTGTGGCCCTCCATCTTAACTCTTCCCCCTTCCCTACTCCCACACTGTCTTCAGTGGGACCCCCCTCTTGGGCCCCTCCTTTTACCATCATGTGAAGACCCCCACGCGTCGGACACCAATTGTCACCTGTGCCGCTGTGTCAGTCCATCTTGCCGCGGTTGTGTCCACCTCAACTTAACTCCTTTAACATGCTCATATTTCTGGCAAAACCCATGCTGGGGTTTTGTCTTTAACTTGTTAATGCTTGCAAACCAAATAAATCATCTAAAATTACTATATTATGAGTTCTTTGTTCTTTCATTTGGGTATGGGACTGAGGTGGGGAGGGGGACGCTGGGCACCTGGGAGAGCAGGGCAGGAGGTGGGTGGAGGAGGCTTCAGAGGTGTGGGCCCTCAGGCACCTTGCACTGTGCACAGGGACCTGGGATCACGGAAGAGCTTCCTTGTGAAGCTGGCGGGGGGTGGGGTGGGGGTGGGACAATTTCAGGAACCGAGTCATCACAGATTGAGGGTCACAGGGCAGGAGGAACACGTGGGGGGGGGTCATTTCCAAGAAAAGCGCCCCATGCCCTTTATGCCAGCCCCCGGAATGTCTCTCTGAACCTTAGGCTGGAGGTGGGCTGCTTGTAGAAGGCTCTGGATACCATAGAAGTTGCTGGACATGAGATTCACTGCTAGTTACTCAGCATAGTTCCCTGCCACTCACCTTCACTCTCCTCCCAAGATAAAGGCTTCCCTGGATTCCTACCCCCACCAGGTGCTGCAGACAGATGAGAAGGGCTGGCCCTGTGCCCACCTGCTCAGCAGTGCTAGTCTCTGAACTTCGGGGTCTCTGAGCACAAGGGGAGGGGGAGGGGGCACACAGGTGCCTGAGGCTTGGCCTCTTCCCTCTGTCCCCTGACTCTAGCTCATTTCAGCCTTCCAACACCCTCATCCACAGATCTGCTCCGCCCACCCCATTGTGGGAGGGCTTCTGTCAGGCCCTTGGGGGTTGGGGAGGCCTCTCACCCTGGCACCTGGGGATTTTGCCCTTTCCTGAATCTTCAGATCTTTGCATTTGCTGTTCCCTAAGTGGCATCCGCAGGGCAGCCTTGCTTCCCACGCACCCCAAGAACTGCTCTGAGCAATCTGGGGATCTGTGACCAAAGGAGGCTGCCTGGGGGAGAAGGGTTTGGGCTTGAACGTGAGGAAGGTTAAGGGTCAGAAAATAGCAAATGGGATGTGGAAGACACTAGGGCAGTTCCTTGCACCAGGGCAAGGCAAGAGTGTGACCTGGGCTATCCACTGGTGCTTGGTGGGCCTAGAGGGTCCAGGGCCCAAGTGGTACTGGCTGACTCCCCAGAAAGCCCCTCTGAGACCCGCTGGCCCTAGTGTGGGGAAGGTCCCTCTCTGCCTACTCCCAGAGGCAGTTGCAGTTTCTTGCTCCCAGATGCCCCCGAAGGCCCCCTGACGTTCTGCCCCAGCTTCTCTCAGCTGTGCATCTTCCCAACACTCAGGGTCTCCGGGCTCCAGCCTCTGAGCCCTTTCCCCAGACTACCTGCCCTTGAGCTGCCAGCCCAAGGTCACCTCAGTCCTGGCCTTCTCCGTACCCCACACCCCTCCATCTATCCCTGCCCCAATCCTGGGCCTCCCTGGCCTTCCACATCCTCACTATCGTCTGCTCCATAGCCCCTCCCCCATCTGCACCCCTCCCCTGATCTCCCTGAAGTCACAGACAAATTGACCCCTTTGCACAGTTCACCTGTATTAGCCCCATCTTGCAGCAGCCCCCTCAGGGTTGCCTCTCTTCCTACCTATCCAGTATCATTTAAGAGAGTGTTCCAGCCCCCGCCCCTCCAGCCCTTCCGTCTCCCTTCCCCCAACTCTGGAAATTCTGTTTATCTCAGAAATTTCACCTACACATCCACCCCCCCGCCATTCATCTACCACCCCACCCACTTAGCCATTCTTTTCTTTTCTTTTTTTCTTTTTTTTTTTGAGACAAGGTCTCACTGTGTAGTTGAGACTGACCTGGAACTCACTATGTATCCCAGGCTGGTCTCGAAGTCGCAGCGATCCTCCTGCCTCAGCCTCCCAAGTGCTGGGATTACAGGCGTGCGCCACCATGCCCAGCTATCCATTCTTATATACATCTTGCCATTCGCTCATCTTCTACCCTCTGTCTATCATCCACCTCTCCCCAGACATGAATGGGTATTGCTTATGTGCAGGACACCGCAGGCTGGGGGAGGGCGAGAACTGGGAGGTGTTTAGGTGCTCTTTTCAACTGTGTAGTGCTGAAGCAGAGACTGGCGGGAAGTGAGGGGTATAGGGGAAGAATATTCAGTGAGAGGCCTGCAACAGGAGTGGGAGTGGGGCGTTCAGCAACACCCCGAGGGTGCCGGGGGGCTGCAGCAGGAGAAGGGGCCTGGCGTGGATGATGAAGTCAGAGGCCCATTTCGGCACGGTGGCATGGGTCACACAGGCCTTTGCTGTTCAGAAACATTTACAGATCCCGCCTGCGGTGAGTTGAATGCTGGCCCTCAGAAAGAAATGTCCACATGCTGACCCCTGGGACCTGCCGATGTGACCTTATTTAGAGAAAGGGTCTTCAGATGCAGTTAGGAAAAGGATCTTGTGATGAGCCTATCTTGGGGTTAGGGTGGGTGTAACCAGTGACAGATGTCTCCACTCTGAATTGGTTGGCGAGACTATGACCACCAGCCTCTCTGACCATACTCCACATGGAATAGAGTAATGGGCCTGGGGCCTGCTGCTTAGAGCCTTCTGTGGCTTCCACAGGCCACTGGGTAAAGTCCAGACCTTGGTCAGGCTTTCCCTCATCCCCCGGTGGCAACATGTCCTGCCCTTCCTCTTTGCTGCCCCCCTCCCTCTCTCCCCTCCCAGGCATTACTGGCTGCCCTGTCTCCCCCAGACCCTATGGTACCTGTCCTCACTCTGGGAACTCCTGCACACCCTCTGCTCTCTGTTCAGCCCTGCCCTCCTCCCCAGGTGTCTGGGCTACTCCTCCGTAAACAGCTCTCTGCCTTTAGCCCTTGCCTCTGTCCCT